GAACTCAGCAGCACTTAACTACTAAGCTTCTTAAATTTTCTTCACACACCTCTCCCACAGAACAGAGACAGGTTGGAATTGGATATGAACCGAATGTTCTTCTTAATTAACTCTTTTGACATGTCTTCTCTTTTTCACCATCACTTGCTCATTTAATTAACTTGTATTACTTTTTATTTATAATACTTTTCCAATCTCTATCTGTAAAGTTGTAGAGGTATTTATTTCGTGAACCAGGTTATAAATTTTAATGTAGTAGACAACGTCGCCAAGTGGTGCTCCTCTTATATCGGCCGAACACAAATCTTGTTGACAAGGGGGGTAGCCATGTGTGAGTTGAGGCAATTCCAAGGTGAAGGGTGAGAAAAAGTCCTTTACATCTCACAAGGAAAGCCAATGTTTAATTGTTCATGATGAACAATTAAACATTGGCTTTCCTTCTGAGATGTAAAGGACTTTTTCTCACCCTTCACCTTGGAACAAATCTTGTAATAAATAAGAGCATCAGGCAATCTTAGAGGATATGCTCGATGGTCACATCTTCTTGTTTGTACTACTGCAGAGTGCGGATTCTGATAGCCCTATGCAACGGCAATGCTTCCGTACTTGGCAATGACCAATCAAGATGCTTGAAATCAGGCGCAGATTATGTCTAATCATAGTCAAGTATTTGTTTGTTATAATATTATCAGGATAATCTGAAAACTCTGCAGCTGCTTGATTCATTCCATCTTTGCTTGAATTTCACAATGGAATATTCTTTAATTAGATTTATTACTACTCGAAGTGGCGTGACTACTGATCTATCTTCGGCCAAAGCCTCGTGACATTCTAGTACTAAACCTGAGTAAATTCGTAGTCTGGTCAGGGTGAATGTACTTGTCTATTATCTGTATAGATGAACATATTTTTTTCAGTGATGTTGTTTTTGGTAATTTATTTTGAGAATGTCGTGAGCTCGATTTAAACTACACTGGCACTATTGCTTACAACCCAGTTTATGTTTAGGTTTAAGGGTCTGGAGTATATTCTACATCTTATGCAATGTTTTGTTTTGGAACCATTGGTGTAGATATGAGTCGTGTCTGCCACTTCCGGCTCTTTTATTTGTTCTGTTATAACGTTTTATGATTTATGGAAGATATATGAGGTGGAGTCCAAGTTCGCTTGAAGCAGTGGGAGCGTATCGAGTGCTTCCTGCCACAAACGACGTCTCTTCGCACCAGATCCTACATCAGGTTCTATTCCAACCGTGCAAAAGCATGTCATTCTCATCAGAGCATCTTCCTTGATGTAAATATCATGGGGAGTGAGACTAAAAATGACTTCCACGGCTCTAGTTGGTGTGGTTTTCATGGTTCCTGTTGTGTTGAGACATGATTTTCTTTGAATTTGTTTTAGTGTCAATTTTTGTGTTTTCGGTACCTGTACAACTGCACCATATGTTATCATATCTCTTTTTATGACCGTGTAAATCTATGAGACCTAGGTACATGACACTAACAACCATCACAGTTAACTAGTACTAGTAGAATGTAAGCTTCTTTAGCTCTTTTCACACAGTTTGCAACTAATTTCTTGATTCGTTGCTTCTGTGTCTTTGCTTCAGCCCAAGCATATTCTAAATTTTCTGTATTTAAAGAAGGTATGCTTTGGTGTGTCTCTTTCCATACAGTATTTAGAGTTTTCCCTATCTGCTTTTCCGATCTAATAAGTAAATGTTCTAAACGATCCATGTGCTGTCATCACCTGTGTCATTCAGTATTTGGTGCTTCTGTGATCGCATTTTATTTACTTAATGATGCTCAGAATCAATTCCTTCGACTGTTGGACTATCTGCTGGTTTCTCTATATACCTCTAGACATCAGGGCTATGTTGCATCTATGTTTGTTTTTTTTATTCGTTCTTTCCTTCTTCCACTATTCCATTTGCATTTAGCGGTACCATCTTTTAGATATACGCCACCCTATTCGCTATCCTTCTCTTTGTTTTCTTCAGTTTTGATCTATATGATTTTACCTTAAGAGCTTCTGCTTATAGCTGTGCTCCCTATAGTAAAATTGAGTGGGCCACTCCACCCAGCAGTATCTTTTTTCGGTTAACTGGATCTCTCAAATTCTTCATTGTCTTTCTTTTCCTTCTTGAACGTCCTACTCTAATACTATACTCAGGTACGGGACTGTTCTAAATGGCCTGATCTTCGTGCCTCTTGACTCGAAAAGCACCTAGCTTTCCGCTGCGGCTTCTTCCTGGATCCGCTGAGTGTGACTGCTTCTGGACAAAAAATATATACTCGATAAGAAGAAGTAGCACGAGTGCCCTTTTAAAAATTTTAAGATGTAGGAGGTATAGTTAAAAGATAAGGACAGTAAGTAGGACAATGTTTGAAAATTTGAAGCTATATGAGTAGTAAATAGAGTTTATTTTTGGTTTGTTAGGATGTAGAAGTCAGATATTCCATATTTAAAGATTCTATTAAATGGAATAAAAGTTTCCTGTTACTGAGGGAGGCAATAATATTATGTGATAAAATTCAACATATCGGGAACGTTTTTTAATCATTTTTTCTTGTCTCTGCCGTATATTTTGCAAATTATCGTTATTATTTAAAAATTAGCTCTTCAAATTGGTCACACAATGTCTTTTCATTTGTAGACACACCCAACAAATGTATTTTATTTAGTTAGCTTAGATGGTTAATTTCAAATTAATATAATCAAAATGTTATTGAGATTGGAGCAATCCAAATGCTCTATAATTTTAAAAATAATAAAGGGCAGGTTATTAAAAGGCAGATTATAAATGGGGTATTAGTGTTATTACTTAATAATAAACAAATTCACAAAATTTTATGAATTATTTATCGCTATAATTATCGCTCTCTGTCCGCGATCCATTTTAATTAATTTGCATAAATTTATTATTTAAATGATTTATTTGTTTATGCTCACTAGTCAACTGGTGGCATAATTGGTACTTTTAGTTGAAATTTATTGATACCTGATATGATCAGCAGTTACAACGTGCTCACAGGTATAGTTAATTTTACCTTTTTTCTTTGTTTAACATATACAATGCGTAAGTAGAACGAACTTCCGGAAATAAATATGGAAATTCGAAATAGTTTTAGAAAAGCAAGTGAAAATAATTATTTTGTCTAAGTACTTTTACTCCTAAATTATTGCATTTACATTTTAAACTTGAATCATTTATTTTCTTCTGCATAGATTTTATTTTTTTTTGTTTTCGTTATCTCACTTTTACCAACTGCTATCATTATTAATTTCACCATTCTATCCAGATGTACTAAAAGACTAATATCATTAGAAATCAAAAATACTAAAATTTACATACTTAAAGTAAACAACAAAAACAATTAAGGCACTGTACAATATTCTTTCACTTTTTTTTATTTTAGATGAACCTGTAACAAGAAATTTCGACCGGTATGATATGAAAACCGCGATTTAGTAAAAGGAAAGGAAAGTCAAGTTTGACTGGACTATCATATTTAGTATGAAATATTTTTGATTAAAAAAATGTAGATTGCGGAAAAAGTCAGGATGATTAATGAATGAATTTTTGAAATTCTCACATAGCAAAAATGTTGTAATAGAATAATTTAAAATTGTTGAAATGATAGAAGGAAATGTAAAGGAGATTGTTAAGGAAATGTGAATAAGATTCTAAGAAGATAAGATTTATTAAAGGAATATAAAAATATTAGAAAGGTAAACGTCAATTTAATTTATTGTATTATACTGGATGGAGCATCACGCAAAAACTTAAAATTTGACATTCTAAATGGATAGTTGAAGAAGAAGGGGATAAAAAAGTTTTTAATAGTGGTACGGACTCTGATTGTTTCCAAGGAAGAAGACGAATGGGTGTCATATAATTAAATAGGTTTTTTTTTAGTAATTAAACTAAACATAGACGGAGTAATACAGGGAGATAAAAGAAGGGATATTTAAGAATCTTTTAATATGTTCCTTTATGATTCTTTGAAATTATTGGTACCTATCTGGTTTTTGAAACCAAGCTTTGAGAGTAACTTATAAATTTTTTTAATATTAATTTTATTTTTCTGAGCTAGTTGGTATATTTACACTGAATACTGATTCATTCATAAAACGCATGCTCGATCCTCAGATTAACATATTCGCACAAACCATTTTCACTGAAATAAGCAGCTGTCTCCTTCTTTCTAATGCGGTAACCGATGCGACAGCTCTGTCTGCGTAATAAAAAATACAATCGGAATGATTGCAAAAAATAGCTTAATTATGAATGAGTGGATTAGTCTAGTTGTTTTTCTTAGTTGTATAACATGTACACTAGATACGTGATATATTACAATAGATCAATGATAAAAAATGAAACGAGCTTTTCCAGTTTTCCTCCTTCTTCGTTGAAATTTATAAACAATTTCAAATTATCAAAAAAATCAAAACTGCGTTATTAAATCAAATGGTCAAATTGTCCTCCATTGACTTCCGTACAATAACAAATTCTCTCGAACTAATAAATAAAAAAAATAAAAACATTTTCTTATCTTGCCTTCATTTTTTCTACTTAGATCATTTCATGTGATAAAACAATTAATTTTTTAACAATGTGATTTTTCATAAACCGTTGTAAAGATACTTCTAAGACCATACAAATGAAGTATCACTCAACCCCTCTTCCCTATTCAATTTTGAGGGGTTGAAGCGCTCCCTCATAGGGGGTTGCTCGTTAAAGCCTCAAATATACGTCAGAAGATGTCCCCCAAAGAAAATCATATGACGTGTTTCGGGAAATTTTTCCAATTACTATGAGATAAGAAATATACGGGGTGGCTCGTCTGAGATAGAACACCCTGTATAAAAATCCATATACAGAAAAAGTCTATAATTTGGAATAAATTCAATAATTCGGAAGTTATTTTCAATGATTTTCGAGTTAAGATATAATAATATCGATAATTTATAATATTAAACAAAGTTGAGATCTACGCATGTGCGTCACAAGTCTAAGGTGGTCAAGTTTAAACAAAATTACGTTAATAAATTATCATTTTGACGATAATATTGATAATATTGATAATATTGATAATATTGATAATATTGATAATATTGATAATATTGATAATATTGATAATATTGATAATATTGATAATATTGATAATATTGATAATATTGATAATATTGATAATATTGATAATATTGATAATATTGATAATATTGATAATATTGATAATATTGATAATATTGATAATATTGATAATATTGATAATATTGATAATATTGATAATATTGATAATATTGATAATATTGATAATATTGATAATATTGATAATATTGATAATATTGATAATATTGATAATATTGATAATATTGATAATATTGATAATATTGATAATATTGATAATATTGATAATATTGATAATATTGATAATATTGATAATATTGATAATATTGATAATATTGATAATATTGATAATATTGATAATATTGATAATATTGATAATATTGATAATATTGATAATATTGATAATATTGATAATATTGATAATATTGATAATATTGATAATATTGATAATATTGATAATATTGATAATATTGATAATATTGATAATATTGATAATATTGATAATATTGATAATATTGATAATATTGATAATATTGATAATATTGATAATATTGATAATATTGATAATATTGATAATATTGATAATATTGATAATATTGATAATATTGATAATATTGATAATATTGATAATATTGATAATATTGATAATATTGATAATATTGATAATATTGATAATATTGATAATATTGATAATATTGATAATATTGATAATATTGATAATATTGATAATATTGATAATATTGATAATATTGATAATATTGATAATATTGATAATATTGATAATATTGATAATATTGATAATATTGATAATATTGATAATATTGATAATATTGATAATATTGATAATATTGATAATATTGATAATATTGATAATATTGATAATATTGATAATATTGATAATATTGATAATATTGATAATATTGATAATATTGATAATATTGATAATATTGATAATATTGATAATATTGATAATATTGATAATATTGATAATATTGATAATATTGATAATATTGATAATATTGATAATATTGATAATATTGATAATATTGATAATATTGATAATATTGATAATATTGATAATATTGATAATATTGATAATATTGATAATATTGATAATATTGATAATATTGATAATATTGATAATATTGATAATATTGATAATATTGATAATATTGATAATATTGATAATATTGATAATATTGATAATATTGATAATATTGATAATATTGATAATATTGATAATATTGATAATATTGATAATATTGATAATATTGATAATATTGATAATATTGATAATATTGATAATATTGATAATATTGATAATATTGATAATATTGATAATATTGATAATATTGATAATATTGATGATAATATTGATGATAATATTGATGATAATATTGATAATAATATTGATAATAATATTGATAAGATATCGTGGCAATCACGCCAAAAGCGTGGCAATCACGTCTAAAGCGTGACGTCTGGCAATCCTGCCTAAGAAGTAATTTGTTAAGTAAAGAAAGAGCTCTTATTCTGAACCAAAATCGATCATTTTTTTATATAAATCAACATAAGAAATTTTAAAGTCCATTCTGATAATAATATTGATGATTATATTGATGATTATATTGATGATTATATTGATGCTTATATTGATGATTATATTATTGATTATACTGATGATTATATTGATGATTATATTGATGATTATATTGATGATTATATTGATGATTATATTGATGATTATATTGATGATTATATTGATAATTATATTGAAGATCATATTAAAGATCATATTGATGATATTGATAATATCGATAATAATGTATGTTTTCTATCAAACATACCTAATATATTTAAATGAAATTGTTTCTTGTCTTCTAATCTACCTTGTATATACAATATGTTAACCTGTGGGTTTTTCGAAATAAAAATGACACGCCTATTATATTTGCACGTGAGTTAAATAAAAAGAGGCTTTCGTGAATCTGGTGACTGTTTGCCGTGATTAGATAGATGGACACACTTCTACCATTAATAGTCTGGCGCGTATTGTTTCATCTCTCTCATTAATACCATCGCTTATTCTATACCGTTCTTCTGGCGTAATTGTAGCACACATAAAGTACTGTATATTTTTAAGCAGAACTACTAACTAATCTTGTTCATCCATATTGCATTAGATCGAATTTTGTTAATAATTGGCCATAGTACAGTTTTAAAATCACAACAAGCGAAATAGCGACTTGACTACTTGACATTTTTAGAAGAGCTGTTTGCGAATAAGAGAAACTCATCGTTTTTTAACCGACTTCAAAAAAGGAGGAGGTTCTCAATTCGTCGCAATATTTTTATTTTTTTTTATGTATGCTCAGCGATAATTCTTTAACACGGTGTCCAATTTCAATGATTCTTTTTTTGTTAGAAAGGGGGTACTTCAGGGGTCCCATATAAATTTGGTCAAAATATAATAATTGGGTCCATAAAAAAATCCTCAAACTTCATTAGTTATGTATGTTTTTTAAGTCGTTTTTTTTTTTTTAATTTTTAATTTCTAATACTTGTGGTACTTAAAATTTGACTAATATATAAGTTGAGACTGGATCATTTACTCGGACATAATAATTTTACCTAATTTATGTCGTTCTCATTTTCATTATTTTCATATTTTTTTGTCTATAGAATCCATTGCTTTATTGTCTGTAAAAGCAAGCATTGTCTTGTTTTTCCAAGAGGTCGAAAGGTTTCCTTTCGCAAAACAGAAAATTTGAGTACAAAAAAGAGACATCAAAAGTTTCATTTACGCATATTCACCGAGGATTATCCTTCGTCCTACGTAACGTCAAAGACAACACAAACGCAATGATACTACAACCCGGCCGTTCCGTTGAAAGCCCCCTAAAGGTTTTATTGATTTATACGAAGGGTGCAATCCGAGGTATGTCCCTAGGACAAGGTTGAAAGGGCGACTTGTAATACTGCATTCTGAACGTCCCGGTTGACCAGACGAATTTTCGGAGTTCATAGAGACGTTTATTCGAGTTATTCGGCTTGAACTAATCGTTCAATTATTTAATTAAAGTGTACGGAGAAAACATAAATTTGAACTTAAAATGGTTCCTAATGTTTCAACAGTTGTTCAATTTATTACGTCCCGATTCAATTATTTAATGTAGAAAAACGATGACAACTAATTTAATTGTATTAGATGTAGAAGAAAGAAATAATTTTAAAAAGTATCTTGATGTAATAGAAGGTAGTTTAGAAACGAGACTTTTTTAACGTAAAATCTTGTAAAAAGTAGCCTAAGAATAGAGTTGCCACATTTTCCGAAAATGAAAAGCGTGACAACCGTGACGATAGAGCATTTTTATATAATCAAAAAAAAGGTCCTCAGTTAAATTTTCCTAAAAACGAGGGTCTTTTACCAGAATATTTCTCTATTTTTGTATAAATCCGATTCCTCTGCGGCTTTTAAAATTATAAAAAGCATGGAATTTGTATAAAAAGCGTACAGGCAACTCAAAAAGCGTGGCAATCACGCCAAAAGCGTGGCAATCACGTCTAAAGCGTGACGTCTGGAAACCCTACCTAAGAAGTAAAGAAAAAGCTCTTATTCTGAACCAAAATCGATAATTTTTTCATGTAAATTAACATAAGAAATACTAAAGTCCATTCTGAAATTTTTGTCCCCTTCAAAGTCACGTTCTGGCTTTATAACGTCACCTGTCATTTGTTAACTCTCATATATGTCGCTAGATGGGGCCACCTGTCGTTTAATAACAACACACATTTTACATTCCTGTCAGTTGAGTTTTAATTATTTTCAAACTTTAAATAAGAATAATCTAAACAAATTAAACCAAATTAATACAAGACCCTAACCAAATAAAAAAATTGTACAATAGAAATAGTTTATTTGGTCTTTTTATGTAAATTTCATAAAAATCTACGACACAACAAATTCTAAACGAATATGACGAAGGAAGAAGGAAGCCAATGAATATGACAGCAAATGGAATGTCAATATTGTCAAAAAGTGCTGCAACTTTTTAATAATCTCCCCTTACATGATATTTGATTGGTCATTTGCTCAACCAATGGTTAAACATTAATTACTGGTTAAAAAACTTGTTGCTTAACCAACTGCGATACAACTCTTAGGTTGGCCTGTTCAATTTTTATGTTTTTAAAAACGGTCGGCCTTAAAACATATCAGACAAAATGACTTGTCCACGTAAATAACAAACAAGTTATCATGGAAGGTGCGAGATTTTTGATTAACCTTTTTGTATACACTACTTGAAGGTCCCGAAATATTTTGGGAATACATTTTTCAGAACTCCAAATCAATAATAACATAATCACAGGACTATGTAAATCTTAACTAAAATAATTTGCAATATGCATAACACTTTCTGCTGATTAGAAATTTTAATCCTTTCTAACAAACTTGAGAGCAATTGATCTTGAATTGTAAATATTTTCTACCCGTAGAGATTACATACTCACATTATTTTTGTTGATTAAAATGACAAAAAACTTTTAGTCAATAATTGAAATAAATTGGTATTTTTAAAAATTTTAGGAAGAAAATCAAATATTTTATTTTGGAACAAATAATGCTTAAAATTTTATTTTAGAAATTCTCCGTCACTGATTTATGATATTACATTGGGGTTTATTTCCTAGATCATTTTCAAATAAGCTATAACAATATAGCGAGTGGCATAAGCATCTCGAATATTCCTGCATTTACTAGCACATTTTTGTCCATCGCTATCGTATAGGACATATTCGACATGTTACAATTCTACCTTCACAAGTTTGGCGGGATGTGTTATGCAATGTAAAAATTCTGCCATTGCTTGGTATACAACGCATCTGAACTCTAAAGGAGGATTTACACGCTACGATTTTTGTGAGATTTGAACTGTACAGTCCGTCGATTCAGTCCATACCTCAACGTGAAGTGCTCGACCTGACTCACATCTAGCCTCTCTTCTTTTGCCTTTTTTGTCTAATGAGAAATTAGCTGATTAAATCTTGCCTTTAGATCAGAACCGTGCGTTTTGGCCTGCAGGCCTTCATTAGACTTCTAGTACAACTTGGCATCAGTGCTACAAGCCCCTTGTTAAAATATATGCATTACAAATCAAAATACCAGTACCCTCACAGAGGTTTTTTTTAATATTAGATTTTAAAACTTATACAGTATCAGAATTGACTCTTTAATATTGATATAAATATTATACAAATGTATAGTTATTTATAATCGGAATATCAATAAATAGGTAATGCTAGTAAGACCATTTATTATGCATATAGAACGTGCAATTTACGTGCATGAAAGTATTTTACTACGATTACTTTATTACGCAATTATAATGTAAACAAAGTTTATAGGTAAGGTCAGTCATAAAATATTTATAAATAACAATTGATATTTATACTTGTAACACGCTAACAACAATTTAATTATTTGTAAACAATATAGGCATAACGTTATTTACATCAAGTTAATCATGCCATCGGAAAATTCTAATTTAGCATCTTTACCAATAGAATAAGTTACGCTGATACACCCGATAGATGGCTTAAATATTTTCTTTTTAAAGCACCTATAACTAAGTTGGCATCTTCAAAGTACAGTTATAAGATGCCAAACGTGGCCATTTGGTGAAAATGCATAAATAAAAGCTGATAATGCTAAAGAAAAATTATTAATAAAACAAATTCTTAAAATCTAGTTTCAACCTCGCAGGATCATCTTCAGGCCTAGAAGGAAAAAGTGTTAGACTTATAAGTTAAGGGGGAGAAGCTACACAAAGGTTTAACAGACTAAATGACAAAAACATTGATACACATTTTGTTTTTTTATAAAAAATTAACTTGTTTAGTCAAAGTCGTTATCACGAAAGTGGAACATAAGGGTAAATAATATTAAAATAAATAGCAAGGGGAGGGAAGTGCAAATGGGAGAGGTGGTGGTTAATGGAGTAAATTTCTTGGGCTAGTAAATTAGCCTCTTCATTCCCCTTATGTGCTCTGTGACCTGGTATCCAGGCTCAGGTTATTCTGTTTCGACTCCTCAGCTATATTAGGATTTATAAATCATTCCACACAACCTATTGGTACCCCATTTATCTTCTTGTCCGGTCAACTAGTACTAAACTCAGTTATTTGTCAGTCTAACCTTTATTGCACCTTGTACTTACTATAAAGTGGGTACTCTACCCTTCTAAGCATTAAAATAGTATGTGCATGTTTGGCTATATTTGAGGTACTATCTTCTTTGTAAGCTCATCATGTTTATAATATTTATAAAGTCTCTTATCTGCAGCAGAAATACATGTTTTACATACAAAACTAATTATTATTGTCATTTCTATAAACTGGGCTCTATTTTTTATACTAGAAAAGACAGTTCAGTGACCTTTAATTTTGTGAAGTTTAGATGGTGCTGCCTTCGAGTTTATTTTCACAACATGGTATACAAGTGAATTTAACTCCATTACATCTTCGATAGAAGATTTGAAGGTAGAATGTCTTATTTCTTGCTGA